AAGTCAATGTTGCGTGGCCTTACTTAGGCACCAGCTGAGACCCTGGGGGGAGCTGAGGGGCTGTCCTTGTCCACAAGCTGCAGTCCGTCCTTTGCAGATGGCCAGAGTCTCCCAAATGATTGTACTAAACAAACCCACAGCAGCTTCCCTCAGGGAATTGTGCCGCTTTGGTGTGTGTGTGTGTGTGTGTGTGTGTGTGTGTGTGTGTGTGTGTGTGTGTTCCTCTTGCCCCTCCCCTCCCTTCCCCCACGGATTGTTTTAATCCCTTGTCATTCATGGGTCTGTAATAAACTCCACCCAACACTAGTGCACATACGCTAAAGAAACGGTGGGCTCCTGAGCGCCCCCTCCCCAGCCGCAAGTGCTGGTGGGCTTCAGCAGCTCTTGGGGGGCAGCCCCCCCCCGTTGAGCTGCCCCTCCCGAGCTGCCCGCCCAGCACTGCCGCTTTCCGGATTCCAGGGCTGGGATCAAAGGCTGCTGGTCTCCAGCCGAGAAAAGTGCCTCAGACCCAGTGCAGCCCCCTCCCCACAGTGAGTCCAGGCCCCCCACCCTCTCCGAAACTTACAAAGGAGCAGATACCCCTCCCCTTGGATCCCCCTGGAGACCCTGTTGAGCCCCATAGACTCAGCGTGGGCTTGTGTGTGTTTGTGTGTGGTGGCTGAGATTGTGTCTCTTGTCCATTTTGGCTCCTTTGCAGATCTGCCTCCTCATCTGAGTTAACAGGACAATATACGGAACACACACTCAGCACCCAGGCTGGCTCACGCGAGGTGCTAAGAGGCACCAAAAGAAAGACAAAAGGAGAGGAGGGGAAGGGAAGGGTTAGGGTTGAAGGAGCCCACATGGTTGTGCTGATGCCAAGCAGCTGCCTGACCTGGCCCACCCCATAAGGTGTGCAGTTGTCCTCCCTGCTAACTGAATAACAGAGTTGGAAGGGACCTCGGAGGTCTTCTAGTCCAGCCCCCTGCTCAAGCAGGAGAACCTAGACCATTTCAGAGACGTGGCCTCTTCTTAAACGCCCCCAGTGAGGGAGCAGCCACAACTTCTGGTCCCCTGGTGGATGGTCCTCCCCCGTCAGCAACTGTTTCTCCTTAGTTCCAGGCGGCTTCCCTCCGGGGTGCTTCTCGGAGATCGCAGCAAGCAGTTGGGTGTCTTGAGTCAGAATGGGAGTCCAGGTTTTGTGGTCAGTCTTGGGTGCAGGGAGCGTTTATGCAAGCGAGAGGACTCTGGGGTCACACCAGACCCGCTTCCTTTGGCTCTGCTCCTGCCCCCTCCCTCCCACACACATTGTGTAGAAGCGCAGCAAGGCCCCCCCTCCCCCCCCATAACCTGAGCCTCCTTCTGTAAACATCCTGCCCATAAGTCCCTGGGGGGGGGAGGGGGGCCCTCTGGCCGATTGCCAGCCAGATAACCCTGCTGGCTGATTGGAGGTGCCAAAGGAGGGTTGCCCTGCCAGGCCCTGCTGGGCTGCCCCCTGGGGAAGGTGCCAGCTTTGCCCTGGGCTGGGGGTGGGGGCAGTGGGGGTGGGGTGGGGGCATTCCGGTCCTAACAAGCACAAGAGCAGCATTTCCAAGGGGGGAGCCTTCCTCTTTCACGTGCTTTAACTGGGGGGGGGGGGGGGTCGGGCTCTGCGCCATGGAAACCAAGACGGGGGGGGGGGGGGGGGAGTGTTTGAGGGGGGAGGGGGGGGGGGGGGGGGGGGGGTCGCTTCCTTTCCCCCTTCCTGGCAGTCCTTCCTTGGGAAAGGCATTATAGGTGGTCCTCGACTTACGACCACAAGGGAGCCCAAGTTTTCTGTTACTAAGCAAGTTAAGTGAGTTTTATGACCTTTCTTGCCACAGCTGATAAGTGAATCACTGCAGTTTTTAAGAGAGCAACACGGACGTTAAGTGGAACCTGGTTTCCCCATTGGCTTTGCTTGTCAGAAGGTCACAAAAGCGGATCATGTGACCCCTTGGGACGCTGTGACCATCGTAAATACGAGTCAGTTGCCAAGCGCCAGGAGATGCTGCAATGGCTGTGTCCCTTTTTCCAGTGCGGTTGAACAGACACTAAATGAACCGTTGTAAGTCGGGGACTGCCTGAGTTCCCAGGGATAGAAGGCTCAGGAAACCCACCAGCTGGCCCAGAGGGGGCTCGTCCAGGGGAGCCTTCCCCACTTCCTTCCGCTGCGCAAGGCGGGAGCCGGTCTCCTTGATTCCTTTTGAGACCCCCCCCTCCCCCCCCCCCCCCCGCTTCCCTCTTTCCACCTCCTGGAGGGAGCAGCCCCTCCCCTTCCCTCTGTATGTGTGTGTGAGAGAGGGGGGGGGCACCCCTTGCTTGGCAGGCTGCCCACAGCCCCTTTCTCATGACCTCCCCTCTTCCGGGGGTCACTGGGAGTCCTTGTTTCCTGCCAAGAGGTCGGCTTCGGGGGAGAGGCAGAGGCCCAGAGCGGGGGGGGCCGGTCCTGGAGGGGAGGGGGGCCGGGGGCTCCCCAGAGCTGCAATTTGTGGCCCAGGAACTGGGCAGCCAAGCCAGGCTGAGTCCTCCGAGGGCTTCCTCTGCCCCTCCTGGAGGCACAGCCATCACTTGGGCGTGCATGTGTGTGCACATGCATGTGTGCACCTGTGCGTGTGTGTGTCACAGACCGGGAAAGAGGGGGTGTGTGTGTGTGTGTGCAAGGCTGCCCTCGGGCCCTTGTGGTTGGATCCCTCTGGATCTGGGCCTCTTCCCACGTGCTGGTGATTGGGGCCAATTCTTCCGGAGGTGCCAGATTGGGGAAGAGGCTGAGGCTGTGCTGCGTGGGGGAGGGGAGGGACCGATCCTTCCTCATGCGGCCCCCTTTGGCAAGAACAGATGCTTCCACCACTAGGGAATGGGCTCTGGGTTGCAAGCAGGAGGGAGCCCTCCCTGTGTTGGGCCCTCCGCCCGACGGAGAGGACAAGGAATCAGCGGCCCACCCGGAGGAGGCGGAGACGGGCAACCTGCCTTCCCCAGCCGCCAGCATCTCCTGGCCCCGCGACCGCTAAGCTGGGGGGAGGGAAGGGCGGGCTTTGGGGGCGTCGGGCGGAGCAAGCCTGAACCCCCGCGGGGTTAAGGGGGAGAGGACTCTGACAAGGATTGACGGAATGCAGCGGTTTGTGGGGGCGGGGAACGAGGAGGGAGAGGAAAGTGGGCGAGCCCTGCCGGGAAGGGTCCCTCGAGGAGCCCCCGCCAGTGGATGCCCTCGGGAGGGGCGGGCCTGTGCAGACAGGGCCAGAGCCCCTTCCGCTCGCCCCCTCCTCAGCATTCCTCTTCCCACACCTGAATGCCGGCAGGCACCTGGCCCCTCCGCAGGCCCCGGAGGGCGCGAGTCTGGAGCCCTTCCAATCTTGGGGGCGGAGAAGCCCCCGCGGTCGGAAACCTGAGCCGGCCCTTTATCGGGATCGCCCATCTCGTTTGCAAATGGGCCGTGACCAGCCGGGCAGGGGGCAGGCGGAGCGGCTCCCGGGGCGACGCGGCGAGCGAGCGGCGAGTGCCGACTCCCCCCACCCCTCGTTCCTCCGCCGCATCTTTTCTGAGTTAGCAGGCCGAGGAAAGGCGGGGGCTGATCACAACCAGATGCGGCGGGTGTTAAATCATCACAGACGGGCCAGGACGGGCGTGCAGGAAGCGCGCTGGCAAAGGAGAGCGGGGCCCGGATTTCCCCGCTTCCAGAGAGGCACCGGGCCAGGAGGACACAGGCCAGGCCACGCTACGCCAGGCCTGGGGGCTACAGGGCGCCCCCCCCCCCAGAAAGCAGCCCTTGTAGTGGCAGGAGGGAAGGGACGACCAGAGTAGCCGACATGGTTGTCCCGGCCTCTGACCGGGAGGCAGGCAGGCTTTCCCTCCAGCAGCCAACCAGGCCACAGCCTCCGGCAGACTGCGCGTGTGCAAGCTAAGCTCAGTTAATGTTCGCCTTAAGGTGGGGTAACCTTTGTGCTCGGGTAGCCCAAGAAGTCACTCTGTGCTGTTGCCAGGCCACGGGAGAGCTGGCTGGGCCCTCCAAGAGCTGCCAGCTGAGCTCAACTCTGCCCTTTCCTGCCTTCCCACCCTAGGAACTTACAAGCTTTGCTCCATGTGGAAAGGGGCCCCACCTTGGCCTTCCCTTCCTCTGGGTGACGCCCCACCCAACCCAGTTCTTTCCCCCAGTGGTAGCTGCTCAGCCATTGCCAACTTTCTGAGCCAAGGAACCTCCTTGTGCCAGCTGTCAATCATGGCTCCCAGAAGTCCCTGCTTGAGCCTCCAGTGACAGGATCTGGGCCAGGCACTTTTTTTTCGGTGCCAGAAGCCCTGTTGCCAGGCAACAGCTGCCCAAAGAACCTCTTTCTCTGACCATTTTCTCAAGTGGGCTGGATTCACCCATCCTGGCACGAGTCCTGTGAACTAAGCTGGGGTCTGGTCAGGGGGGGCGCCATTCACCCCCAGGAGCCCATCAGGAGGTGCCCAGTCGAAGCCGCTGGTCAGGGTCTTCCTCAGGAGCCCCCAGCTGCTCCCCCAAGGGGGCCAGCGTGGAAGTGGGTCTCTCCCCCAGGGGGCCCAGATGTCCTCCCTGAACCCCCCTCCTCCTGCTCTTAATCCCTTGGCTGCCGGTGGGCCTTCTTGTCAGGGAGATCAGCCGCTGAGAATCTGGAATGGACCTCAGTGGCGTTTGCAGGGCAGTGGGAATGCCAGGGACAAACCTTGCCGTGTGGAAGGATCCCTGTGGAGTCCTGCTCAGTTGAGAGAGAACCCCGGCCTGGCCAGGAGTCAAAAGGCTCCTCTGAGAAAAAAGCTGGGAGGGGCAGGCCAGGCCTCCCCTCCTTCGTACTTTGCATGGGAGGGTGCAACTCTGTCAGCCTTTAGGCAGGCCCCGGGATCTGCAGATGAACCCCTCCCCCACCCAGACTCTGCCTGTACCCCCTGCAACACCTCTGACCCCCCCCCCAGCCTGAGTGATAGTCAAAGTCTATTTCTATGGAAGCTTCCGACAAAGGAAGGAAGGCTTTTTGTGTACGAACACATCAATCTTTGGTATTGCTTAGAAATAGAAAAAAAGGCAGGTTGAAAGATAAGGAGGGAAAGTACATTCGGACACACACACACAGCCTCTCCCCCACCCACGCAGGAGAGGGGACGCGGCCCAGGGGGAAGGCCCAGCCCAACGGGAACGGTGGGTCCTATTGACAGGCGGAGAGACGAAGCTCCGAGGCGGCCAGGGAACAGAATCCAGACGGGCGGTCATGGGGCGGCGGCCACCGACGGGCCTGCTGCTCCCTGAGTCCGGGGCCAAGGCGCGCTCCCGGGCGCTCACCAGGGTCTCCAGAGCGAGTCTGCCGGGAGCGACGGGGCACCCGATCCTGAAGGGAGGCTGGCTGCGGGAGGGCCCGAGCTGGCGTAGAGAGGGATGACCGCACTGCCGTGCGCTGCAAAGGCCGCGTTGGGGATAAGGAAGGCGAACTGCCCGTCGGAAGCCGGCACCAGCTGGAAGCCGCCGCCGCCCTTGGCGCTCTCGCCGGCCGGATTGCTGAGCTTGCAGGAAGCCACGCTGCCAGAAGGGGGCGATGTGCCGGCGGGCATCTGTACCAGAGGCTGCCCCAAAGAGGCTCCGTGCTGGGCGCAGGGCGCCGGAGGCAGCGCTGAAGATTGCAGGGCGGGGTAGTTCAAGGCGCTGATCTGACTCAGGCAGCCGGCCAGGTGTCCAAGCAGCCGGTTGCGGACCTCCGTGTTGACCCCTTCGCAGGAGGACAGGAAGCGAGTCACCTCGGTCATGCATTCGTTGAAACCCGCTCGGTACTTGCACAAGACGGAGGGGTCCGTGTTGAGCGCGGCTGCCGGCAAGAAAAGAAGCGGCGGCAGTCAGGGGAGGGGCCGGCGGCCGGAGCAACTCTGAGGCCCTCCCCGTTTCCCCAGGCTGCCAAGCAGGGGGCCCTGTGGGTGGGAACTGGCCCCCTCCCAAGGAGGAAGGCCTGAATCCGGCCAGGCTGCAGGCACCTGGGCTTCTGGGAACCGGACACCCACGAGCAGCAGGAGGCTGCCCCCCTCCCGCTTCTCCTTCGGCCACACCGCAGGCTCCTTTCCGGAACGGGAGCCACTCGGAGCTGCGGCTATAAATACTGCCAGAGCCAGACCGTGGGAACCCGCGCCTGAGCCAAGTCAGTGAAAGGCAGCTTGGATGGCATTCAAAGCCACAGGCGGAAGTCTGGAAGAAGCCACCCCTGGAGGGGGAGGGGGGAGGGGGGAGGGGGGGGGGGGGGGGGGGGGGGGGGGGGGGGAGGGCCTGGCCACTCACCGGTCATCTGAGCCCGCTGCAGGCTGCGCAAGTGCTTCACCGTCATTTCCAGGATATCAGCCTTCTCCAGCTTGGAGTGTCGGGAGCTCTGGGGGCAAACAGGAGGCAGGAGGGACACATGAGCCCCGGTGGGGGGAGAGGTGGGGGCACTTTTAGCTCAGCTGGACTCCACCAACAGGCCCCCTTTCTGCCGGGGAAACCCCCCCAGGAAGGAGAAAGGACACGCCCCGTCCTCAAAACAAGGAATCACGCCTGGGGGTCGGCGGGGGAAGGGTTCCCCCTCCCCAGGTCTAAAGAGGACCCAAGCCGTTGTGGGGCGGGGGGGGGGGGGGGGGGGGGGCGAGAGGACCAGGGAAACTCCTGGCTGCGGCCATCGCACAGCTGCGGAACATGCCCTGCGGCGCCCAAGTCTGATGATCCCCGTCCAAAAGAGGCCTGTCCGCTGGGCAGTTCGGCCGGGACCCCCAGAGGGCATCCCCCCGTTTCGCCGAGCCCTTTCGTGCCCCCGGGGGCTCCCGACACTCACGTCCTTCTTGAGGGCGTCCAGGATGAGCGTCTTCAGCTGCCCCAGGCTCTCGTTGATCCGGGCGCGGCGCCGTTTCTCCATGACTGGCTTGGACGACTGTGGGGAGAAGGCGAGCTCAGCGGTGGGCCGAGCCGCGCAGAGGCGCCCCCGCCCCGCTCCCCCGCCCGGACCCCCGCCCGCCTCCTCCTTTACCTTCCGCTGCTCGGCGGCGGTGCGGGGCTTGTCCGGGGTGGCGTGCGCGCTGGTCGGGGTGGCCGCCGGCGGCGAGGAGGAGCTCTTTTCCATCAGGTCGGCGGGCATCGTGGCCCAGCCGCGTCCGACGTGCCGCGGGGGAGTCGGCGCGATCAGGATCCGGCGCAGCGTCCTCTGCAGCGAGTGGGGCGGGCGGGTGGGCCGTGAATGAGGCGGGGTGACCCTCTCCGGAGGCAGCGGCGGCGACTGCCGGCCCTTCCCAGTACGGCACCCCCTCCGCTCTTTCCTGCGGCCGGAGCTGCCAGGCTAGCCAGCCGCCCCCAGCCCTGCGCAACCCCGGCCGGCTCCCTGCCTGGCGGCCGCTATTTATAAACTGCCCTGCACGCGAACGGCTCGTGTGAAACTTGCCAAACTTTCTTTCCCACAGTGACTTTCAGCCAATGGGAGCGGGAGGCACGCGGCCCCGCTCGTGGACGGTGCCCATCCATTGGTTGCTCGGCGCACCTACCGGCGGCCAATGGCGCACGCCTGGCCCCCGGGCACCAGGACCCGCGCTGTCAATCAACGCGCCCGCTTTAACCCTCGCAGCGCTGCCGCCCCGCCCGGCCGAGGAGGGGGCGCAGGTCGCTGGCCTCTGCGGGGGGCGTTGCCCGGCACGCGAGGCTGGGAAGGGCGGCCGGGCGGCTTCCAGCCCCGCCCCGAGGGGAGCCCCTGTTTGCCCCCCACAGGTGGACCCGGGTGCCACGCGCGGAAGGCCGTGGGCAGAGCGGCAGGGAGGTGGCTTTGCTCCAGTCTAGGGTGGAAGGCGGCCGGCGGCCGGCGGCCTCCCTCTTCGGCTCCAGCCGCCGGGCTGCCCGCAGGCGCTGCCCCGGAGCGCGTGCCGGAAGTCTCCTGCAGCCGCCGCCACCGAGCGCGAAGCTGTGCGGCGGGAGCTGTGCGGCTTGGCGCCCGGGGAGAGAAGCCGGGCAAACCGCCCCAGCCACCGCCAAAGCCTGGGAAAACCCCGCCTTCCGGGGAGGGAAGCGAGGAATGCGGCCTTTCGGGCGGGCGAGGGCAGCGGCCTCCACTTTCGGCGGCGGCGCTGGGCTCTCCGGGAAGGGAAGGGCGGGAGGGGGACAGAGTCGCTCCCCCCACTCGAAAGGTCCCGGGGTGGGCGGCTTGCCTCGAGCGTCTCTGGGCCGCTTGGTCCTAGCGGGCTCTCGGCCGCGGCTTCCGATTGTGGCCGGGTTGCACCCTGAACCGCCCGTCGCCCTTCGGCATTGGGTGGCTGCAGCCCTCGGACGCCGCGTGAGGAAGTTTCCAAGGCCTTTAAAAAAGGGGGACGCCTCCCCTCCCCCCGCTCAGGTTTCGAATGGTTTTCATTCAAGGCAGCAAAAGTAATTCAAATAATATGCCGAGTTTCGCGTAATTACTGAGCTGTTGATTTCAGCGGACAAAAAGCAGCGGAAGGGCAGCCAGCTAGGAGGAAGTTTCGGGGCTGGAAGGGCCCTTGGAGATCTTCTAGCCCGACCCCTCTGCCGTGGCAGGAGCCTTGCACCATCCTGGATAAATGGCTGTCCAGCCGACTTCTGAGAAATCCCAGGACTCTTGGTCGCAGTTGTGGCGTGGCCCAGGCAGGGCTCGGTGCGGACCCTCCTTAGTCTAGGTGGGGGTGGGGGACTGATGGGGGAGGGGCAGCGAGTCATTCCCTTGCACTTGCTGAAAGGGGCTGCAAGGAGGCAGCTCTCCTCTCCTCCCGAAAACGGCCCTGCGGCCAGGCTGGTGCGTCCAGCATCCCCGGTTCCCATCTTCAAGAGACCCGGTGTCTGGTCCCGTTCACTGCACTCCGGTCATGAGCCACCCTCGGGCACTCGATCTGGGATCTGGTTCCTGGGAGGTTTGGGCTCTCCGAGCTGCAGTCCTGCCCACCGAGGCTGAAATCATCCTGTGGGGAGGGGGCTTCTCTCGGGCCGCTCAGGCTTCCTGTGGAGGTTCGGGAGAGAAAGCCAAGCCGGGAGTCAAGACTCTTCCCACTGCCCGAACTCCTCTGGGTTTCCTCCGCCCTACCCCCACCAAGCTTTAAGGGTGGACCCACCGGAGCTCGCAGGGTCTGCCGCCCCCTCCTCTGGCCGGGCGGCTTGGCCTTCCCGGGGCGCCAAGGGCTCTCCTCCCGCCGTCAGCCCCTTTCCAGTTAATTGGCTTGAAGGGAGGCCTCGCTCTTTCCTGCTCTGCCTTTCAGCCCCCGTTAAGCCTGAGCCCCCTTTGCTCTAAATATGCGGGATTGAATTCAAGTCTCCAGGCTGGCGTCTCCTCTCTCCCCGCCCCCCCCCCCCCCAGTTCATGGGCAAAGAGAAGGCAAAAGGCCCAGCCGCCCTTTGGCTACTGCCTGGAAGGGGGAGGGGGGCAAGGCGAGGTGCTTTGGAGCAACTACCAACTGCTACCCTCCCCGTCGAGGGATGCGAAGGATCGCACGACTGGTCAAGAGTGTCGTGCGCAAAGGGGCCGCAGAGCCCGCGACCCCCGACTGCAGTTGCTGGAGGTCTGTCAGAGGGGGGCCGACCGCGGGAATCCGCCTCCATGGTTCCCTCCCTGCCGAGTGAGCGAGAGCTGCTTAGGAACCCAGAAAGGGGGGGGGGCTTTGGATTTGAGCCCCCCCAGGATCCAGCCCGAGGGCAGGGCGCGCTGGGCGGCGGGGCGAGTGCCCGAGCTGGCCTGGGGAGCAGGGCTGCCCGACGCGAGCCCCGCTTCTGTAGGGCAACCTGCCCGAGCGCCTGGCAAGGGCTGCGGGAAGAGGAGCCTTCTCGCTAAGCTTAGCGGAGAGTCGGGGCCGCTCCGGGTCCCTTCGCGGCCGCCTCGGTCTTTGTGGGCGATTCTGTGCTCACAGAGGCTGCTGCTCGGCGGGGAAGCGGCCCGCTCCGGCTCCCGCGCTGCTGGGGGCGAGGAGGGGGGCCGTTTTGCCGGCGGCCCTGGAGGCCTTTCTCTTCGCTTCCTTCGCTTGGCTGACTTTCTCACACTCGCCTTCCCACCGCCGCTCGGCCTGCTTAGGCTCAGTCCACCGCCTGCCAAACGCCGCCTATGCTCGAGTGCAGAGGGACCCCGCCCGCTTCCTCCTCCTCGGCGAGGCTCAGCGCGGCCCCCGCCGCTCGCATCACCTGACCGCCCCTGCCCGGAGCGTGAGAAAAAGGCCCGCGGGAGGGCCCGGCCAGGTCCTCGGCGCGTGCCTCGGCCATAAGGCGATGCAGGCCGGGAGCTGGACCTGGGAAGCAGGGGAGGAAGGGAGGACATGCTGTGCCTGATTGCCCGTCTAGCTGAGGCTTGGAACTGGCCGGCATTTCCGAAGAGAAAGCCAACCCACCCACCCACCCCAGAAGCAGTCTAGGAGAGCAACGCCGCCGCCGCCGAATTTCCTGCCCTGGGAGCGGCAGGGAAGAATTCAGCAGGAAGGGAACTCAAGGAGGTGCAACATTTTCTGAGCCCCCAAAGGTTGCTCCACATTTTGAGCTCAGACTTGGAACAAAACCCAGGTGTTTGGCGCTCTGCGCCAATGGTGTTTCCAGATGTGTCCCTCCTCCTTCCAGGGCGGTGCCTGGTGGAGGCTTCATTCCTGCCCTGGGTTCATGGCGGCGAGGGAGGGGGGGGGTTGTGGGCCTGCAGGGATGGGAGGCAGAAGTGGGGAACCAGGCAGGTGAAGGAAGCTGCGCTTGGGGGTCTGAGCACCCTCCCCTGCCTGAGGGGCAGCCGGCCCTCCTTCCAATCTATGCTGCACGAGTTGCAGCACGGGACAAGGTCGCTGTGGGTTTTCCTTCTGCGGTTGTGCTTTGTGTGGGAAGTCGGGGCTAAACGTCAACATCCCCCCCCCCCCGTCAAGCTTTTGGGCTGCTCTACATGCTCACCATATGTTGGATTGTTCTTTCTGGAACAACTTCGGCAGAGTATATTTTTACTGCTGTTTCAGGTAAAGTTATAGCTGTTGTGGGTCTTCTGAACTTAATTCTGCAGCCGCTTCTAGCGCAGGCAGACTCGGATGTATGAAAGGGGGAAAAAACTCTTGTTTCCTTTGATAGTGTGGTCTTCAAAAATGTTGCAACTTCTCTATCAGTTGAATTGTCCCTCTCTCAGTTTGGGGGTTAGATTTATTTTCCATCATAAAATGCCATCCAGGTTAGGCTGAGACTGAGCCTCAGGATATATATCAAAACAGAGCTGGAAGGGACCTTGGAGGTCATCTAGTCCAGGGGTCACCAACTTTTTGGACCTCAGGGACCACCAAACACATCATTTTAAATCCCGCAGACCAGAAACCCAGGGAAAATCCCCCAAAAAGTCTGCAGGAAAATATCCCCCCCCCTTTTCCTACCGATCGATCATACTTTATTTGGGATCGCAGGATACTGTCTCCAACTTGGTTCTCAGGGGGAGGGAGAGAGAGAGAGAGAGACTTTTGGCTTCATGCAAGGAAAGCAGCAGAAGCAGCAGAAGTCTTTCTTTCTCTCCTCCAAACTCTGCCAGAAACAGCCTCTTGGAGCAGGAGGCCTTGCAGGGAGGGTCCCCAAGACCCATTTCTGGCGGAGTTTGGGGGAGAGAAGGAAAGGCTTTGGCTGCTTTCCTTGCAGGCAGCCAAAAGCAGAAGAAGAAAGAAGTGGAGAGAAGCAGCCCCGGGGCCGGGCCAGGCCAGGCGTTTGGGGCGAGTGGGGCAAATTCCCCCCTCCTCCCTTTCCCCCTCCCCTCCCTACCTCATGTTGTGCACAGTGCAAGCGATGCAGGCCTTGGGTTCCCACACAGCCTGGATTAACTGCTTTGGGGGGGGGGGGACATTTCTCGTGGACCACCAGTGGTCCCCAACCCACTGGTTGGTGCTCCCTGTTCTAGTCCAGCCCCCTGCTGAAGCAAGAGACCCCAGATGTCTGTAGAGATCCTCAGCCACCCAGGGCGTGGTTCTTGCAAAGGGGCTTTTCCAAGAGGCAACTGGACTTTCTGGTTTTTCTTTGAAGATGTTCTGCTTTCTCATCCAAGGAGCTCCTTCAGTTCTCTGAAGAAGCTTTAGGAGACCCCAGACCATTCCAGACCAGCGGTTGTCCAGTCTCTCCTTAAAAACGTCCAGGGATGAAGCTCCCACAACTTCTGGAGGCAACGTCTGTTCCACTGGCTGATCGTCCTCCCTGTCAGGAACTGTTTCTCTTGAATTCCAGGTTGCTCCTCTTCCCTGGTTTTAGTTTCTGTCAGTTGCTCTTGTCCTGCCCTCAGGGGCTCTGAAGAATAGCTTGACCCTCTTCTTCTTCTTCTTCTTCTTCTTCTTCTCTGGGGCAACCCCTGAGACATTGGAAGACTGCTCTCATGTCACCCCCTTAGTCCT